CTGCTTACTAGTCATGCTCTGGACAGAGAGACGGATTCCAGGACTTCGGTGGCAGGCACTGTCCACAGAAGCACCCACAGGAGACTCTGGCACCTGCAAGATCCTGCGAGGCACCTGCACCTGAGGACCTTTCCGGCTAGCCAGCTGCCATTGCACGGAGAAATCTGAGCTGAGTGGCTGGTTACAAACACGCAAAGACTACTGGAACCAAGTGTCACTATAGACCATCAGTAGCCAGAGAGAATAAAAAGACAACAGAAGCAACTGGCAGCAGGAAGCCTCCCTAGAACGCAGAGCACGGGGCAGAAGGAAGGCCGCCCAGTCTCTGCCTGCCAAGGGCGGGGGTGGGAAATTCGCCTGACCTGGGGCTGGAAAACCGGGTACTCCAGAAGATTCCTGTCCCCAAAGGTCCCCAGCTCAACACAAACTAACGAAAGCCATGGCGGATGATGTTATTCAGTTCTTCACTTCCTGGAACTAGACAATCTGATTTCTAAGGTCATCTGGACACCTAATTTAATGAAAGTTCTGGAAAAAGTTAGAATGAGGGAGACTTGCTCAATCAGATATTAAAACATATTTAAAATGAAAAAAATCACATGGTTTCTCTAAGATATAAAGTAAACACAGTAGTCGTTTTCTATTTGTACTTGTATGTGTTTGTAGCATGTAACGTCTGCATTCCCAGTGTGGAGTTGGTGTGGGTACCAAACATTCCCTCCCATCTGAGCAAACCTCACCTCCATACTTCCTCTTGTTTTCACTTTGTTCTTTCTCCTCTAAGAGAAACCATGCAATAGCTAAGTCTATGTGTCAGATTTATTTTACTTAACATTATGGTCTCAAAATATAAATCATTTAAAGAGCAAAATAAAAGAAAGATGACTGAAAGCAGGGAGGGAGGCCCCAGGGATGGTATACAGGGGGAGGCCGGGAGCAGAAGTAATTAGGATGCAATATGTGTGTCTACCAGTTCCTAAGGAAGCACATTCATGATGTGTCACAAACACCTACCGACATTTTATATATATATAAATGAAAATAATGATATTATATGCTTTTAGAGAAGAATTTTATAAGTAGGTCAAAGTAATAAAAAGACTGAAAAGGTAAAGGACTTCATTGTATAACGACTCCATCATTTCAAATCAAGAGCTAAAGATAAACCATTTAAGATAAGATTGAGATTAGGATTTAAGGGAACACATGATAATGGGGAGGAGAGGGGAGAAGAAGGAAATCAGAGATTTAAGATGCGCTATGTGCATGGACCAACTCCCCACAAAGAAGGAACTCATCAGGCTCTGCATTCATGTACCGTCTTTCTTACTTTCATGCCACACAATACCCGACACTCACAGTACAAGGGAGGAAAGTTTTGCTTTGGATCACAGTTTGCACGGCCTTTATTCCACAACCAGCCAGCTCCAAGGCAAGGCAGCATGGTTCGGGGCACCGCTGAAGTGAGCTGTTCATGGCAGGGTGGCAGAAAAAAGGCACAGATCAAGGAGGAGGAGGGATCCTTCCAGGCCACATCACCCACGAGTATGTGGGGTCTTGTGGGGACACCAAGATATAAACTATAATGGGTACTAATTAAAAATCAAAAAGTTCAACTTAGAAAAGCACCAAATAAATCCAGGCTAATACAATTTATTTTTAAAAAGCAATGAGTAATCATTTATTTAAATATAGCTCGACCCTTATCTCAGTTACCTGTTTTACCAAAGCTAATCATAGATTAAAAACAAACAAGAGATGGTGGGAGAGGTAGAGAAGGAAAGAGAAAGGAAGATAAAATAAACTAATAATACCAAAATCATATAGCTTCTATTTTTTAAATGCTGGGGGTGGGAAGGCGACCCTTACAAACACAGCCAGATGCCACGTCTGCTCAGGACCAAGGCTTCTGAAGATGCTCTGTAGAAAATGAACTCAGCTTAGTGCTAGTTTTAGTCTTTGGCATACAGAAAGCCAGTTTTTCCAGCATCGCTTATTAAAGAGGCTGTCTTTCTTCCAGTGAATGTGTTTGGCACCTTTGTAAAGATAAGGTGTCCGAGTGTGTCTGCAGTTATTTCTGCATCTTTTAATCTGTTCTGTTGATCCTAAGGCTTGATTTTTTTTTGTCAGTACCATGCTGTTTTTATTACAGAAGTTCTATAGAACAATTTCAAGTCAGGGATTGTGATGCCTCTTGTCTTGCCTTTGTTGCTGAGAATTGTTTTTGCTATTCTAGGTTTCTTTTAGGTCCAAATGAATTTTAAGATTGTTTTCTTTTGTTCTGTGGGGTATGCTAATGGCATTTTGATTGAGATTGCATTAAATCTGTATAACAATTTTCTCTTTGTTCATTCTTCCTGCCTAAGAACAAGGGATATCTTTCCATGTTCTGATATTCTCATCAATCTCCTTCTTTAGAGTACTGTAGTTTTCAATACAGAGATATTTTACTTCCTCTGTTAGAGTGTTTACTAAATACTTTAGTCTTTCCAATGTCTTTATGAAAGGTGTGGTTTCCCTAATTTCTCTCTCAGTGAGTTTGTTATTTGTGTACAGGAATAACATTGATTTTTGAGTGCTGATTTTGTATGCAGCTATGCCACTGAATTTGATTATCTTAGTCATTTGGTGGAGTTTTGGGTTCTTTATATAGAGCATCATGTCATCTGCAAATAGTGATAATTTAACTTCTTCCTTTCCTGTCTTTATTCCTTTTATTTCTTTCTCTTGTCTAATTGCTCTGCTAATGTTTTCAGAGCTATATTGGATAGGAGTGACAATAGTGGACATCCTCATCTTGTTCCTAATTTTAGAATAAAAGCTTTCAATTTCTGATCATTTAGTAGGAAGTTGGATGTTGGTTTGTCATAGATGGCTTTTATCAGATTGAGATAAAGACCACTTGTTCTAATTTTCTGCAGTTTTTATCATGAATGAATGTTGGAGTTTGTCCAATGGTTTTTTTTTTTTTTGCATCTGTTGAGATGATCATATGATTTTTGTCTTGGCTCTGTTGATATGGTGTATTACATTTATTGACTTGAAAATGTTGAACCATCACTGCATCCCTGGGATGAATCCTATTTCATCACGTACTAAACTAAAATCAAAATGAATTAAAGTTCTAAATAGAACAATAAATCCGTGGAAGACAGAATAGCTAGAAAACATAGGTATAGACAGACACTTCATAAACAAAACTCCAGGTACAAGGGAAATACTACAAAAAATCAACAACTAGGATCTCAACTTATTCAAAAGCTTTTGCCCAGCAAAAGAAATCACTAACAGTGTGAAAAGACAAGGCACAGAGTGGGAAAAAACTTAACCAGTTGTTCCTCAGTCACAGGAACAGATGTTATGTTCTAACATCTAGAACATATAAAAAACTGAAAAAATCAGACTCCTATATTTAAAAACTCAATCCAAAAATAGGCATCTGAGATGAATATACACTTCTCAGATGAGAGAGTACAAATAACAAACATATTTTCAAAAGTTCAAGGTCACTGGTTGTTCAAGAGATACAAATTAAAACAACCCAGACAGAACAGCTATGATCACGAAATCAACCAACAACACATGCTAGAGGGGCTGTGGGGAAAAAGGAACCCTTCTTCACTGTTGGTGGGGAATGCAAGCTGAGGCAACCACCATGAAAATCAATATCTAGATTCCTCAAAGAACTAGTAGTAGGGTCCCCAATTGACCCAGGTATTCTGCTTCCGAGTATAGTCCCAAGAGAATTAAAAGCATCATACCACAGCAATATATGCACACTCATGTTTATAAAAGCACTATTTGTAAAAGCATGGACACAACCCCAGTGCCCATCAACTGATGAATGGATAAAACTGATGTGATTTTTTATACAATGAAGTACTACTCAACCATGAATAAGGATAAACTTGAGACATTTCTAGGTAAGTGGATGCACCTTGAGACCATATTCATTAGTGAAATTGGTCACACATATAAGTATCACACTGTCTCTCTGGTGTGAGAAGTCAAAAGTGTAAACAAGATCCAAAATATATGAGATGTTGTGAAATGGGAAGAAAATGTTCAAAAGGAAAGGGGAACTAAGGAAAGGGGAGAGAGAAAAAGGAAGGAGAAAATAATGAGAAAAAGAAGATAAAATGGAAACAAGGCTTTGTAAATGAGGAGAAGATGGGTTGAAGGGAGGGAAGGAGAATGAGAGAAATCAGGATATATCATGAACAGGTACAAATTCCCTATGATGAATGCTATCATGATGTGTATCTCAATGGTACCAATAAACTTAACATAAAATTTAAAAGATGAGCTCCCCTGGAGCCCAGTGTCTCCTGGTGTCCAGGGAAATGATGCTGTGCAGATGTCGAGTGCCCGCAGGCACCCTCATGGTGAAGGCTGAACCCTAGTGTGCAGCCCTGTTTGGAGGTGAGGGGCCCTTAAACAGCAGGTCCAGGAGAGCTCTTGGGTCACGTGTCATAGTGTGTACTTCTAAGGGAGAATGGGGCTCTCTGCTTCCTGGCTGGGAGCTGAGCGGCAGGCTCTTCTGGGTCCTATATGTTGTCACTGGCTCCAAACAAGGGGCCAGTCATGGACTGGAACTGCCAAAGCACTCAGCTGAAATATCCCTGGCCTCTTTCTGAGTTGATTACTTCAGGTATTTTGTTACACTGATATAAACCTGACTAACACTGTGGCTTCAAGAGCGTGTCAAGTCTACATACATGGGGCCAGGCAGTGGGGATGTATGCACCTTGAGACCTTGCTCACCGTAACAGAGAGTACAGACTTGCACTTGAAGGTCAGGCCCAGGTGGCTGCAAAGCAGAACCAAAGGATATGAGCTGGTGCATGCAGATGTCCACAGCGCAAGGAGGAGACCCTGGGAGATGTCCTGCCCTGGTAGCTCTAAAGACTTGTGTGTGCACATGCATGTGTGTTTGTGTGTGTGTGTTTGTGTGTGTGCATAGATGTGTGTGTGTGTGTGTACATGTTTGTGCAATGAAAAGTGTTGGGAGCCGTGGCACTGTCAAGTCATCAGACGCGGTGATTGCGAGGCCTGTGGGAAAGTACAAAAGCCTGGGCTAGATTACCCCTCTCATCGAGCCCGCCTGTGTGGCACCTGTTTCTTATCACCCCACTAAGTTCCCGCCTCACAGGGTAGTCTGCCTAGCTATTAATCCTATATATAGCCAGTGCCTCCACCCCCGAGAGAGAGAGAGACTGAAGCACAAAAGGAGCCGCGGGGAGCGGACCGGTAGAGGCTTCGGGGCAGACTGAAGCACGGAAGGAGCCGCGGAGAGCGGACCGGTAGAGGCTTCGGGGCAGACTGTATAAGGAGAGAATAAAGAAAAGCCTGACCACCGCCAGACCTTGTTGTGTGTCTTTCCTGCCGGCCGGGAGCGGACATCGACATTTGGTGGCCCGCACGGGGATTGATCAACCCCGAGACGCGGCGGTGGACTGCATTCTCCTACACAGTGCTGCAGCTGCAGGACAGGTGAGTAGAGGATAAGCCTGGGCCCTGGGTGGCGCGCACCTACAGGGTTTGTAGACTCCTCTCAACCTCACGCGTAAGTGGCGGGTTTCTTGGGCCTCACGCGGTGAGTATGAAACATAACACCAGAACTTAAGGTAATAAAAGAGTGTAAAACATAAACATAGAAGTAAAAATAACAGAAGATATATTAAAAATGGGAAACATGCCAAGTAAAGATACACAGCCTTGGTGTTGGTCCTTCGGAGACTCCTAAAGTCCAAGGACCTCAAGGTGGGGTGTAAGACTTTAGAAAATTTCCTTGCAGAGATTGACAGCTTTGCTCCCTGGTTTCTGCCTACAGGGCATGTAAACCTGCCCTCCTGGGAAAAGTTGGGCAGAGACCTTTCCCTAGCAGAGCGGGAGGGTAGAGCTTCAGTCTCTGCTCGTCCATTGTGGGAAATGATACACACGTGCCTAAAGAGTGAGGGTAGTTACGGGGGGAGCTCTCAAGAACTTGTAGAAGTACGCGAGGTGTTTGAACAGGCACAGTGAGGAAGCTCCCGAGAAGGGTCCGTCAAGGAGGGCAGAGATACAAAAGAGGAAGCCGAGGCGCGGTTTGTGTCTTTCCGCAGGAATCGGGACGAGAACCAATGTGGGTCCCAGAGAGGTTGACGCGACAAGTCCCTCGACTGAAGATCAGGCCTGTTCCACCAGAGGCCAACCGCAGACCCAACAACAAGATGAGCCCTAAAAGAACTGCAGGACAATCCCTTTTTGGGGGCCTGGAACGGCTTGCTCCCCTATGTGCTACCCTTGTATACGCATGGCTCGCTCGCATGGCCTACGACCGCGTTTAAAAGTGACAGGCTTCCCACATTCTCCTCCCTAGACAACAACATGTAGCAGGGTAGATGAGTCAATGACGGGTAAGAGCGTGCCTCCCCAGCACGACTCAACCTAAGCCAGGCCCTACCCCGTTCCGCTCGAAAGCCGCTGGATTGTTAGATAAATTTCTCTCCGAGGGGATTCGTGGAGAGAAATGAGTGCATGCCTATGTGCAACCAGGTTCCGTCCGGTTCATTCCTGGCCCTAGAAAAAAGGACGAGGGCCTCAGGGCCTTGGTGGACCCTGGGACGGCCGACCAGGGTCTACGCTAAGGGCCTACGGTGGGCCTCAGTTCGGGGCATAGGCCTCTGCACTCTATCCAGGACGGGCTGCGATGCGCGTAGCCATCATTTAAAATAAAATAGGGGGAGATGTTGGGAGCCGTGGCACTGTCAAGTCATCAGACGCGGTGATTGCGAGGCCTGTGGGAAAGTACAAAAGCCTGGGCTAGATTACCCCTCTCATCGAGCCCGCCTGTGTGGCACCTGTTTCTTATCACCCCACTAAGTTCCCGCCTCACAGGGTAGTCTGCCTAGCTATTAATCCTATATATAGCCAGTGCCTCCACCCCCGAGAGAGAGAGAGACTGAAGCACAAAAGGAGCCGCGGGGAGCGGACCGGTAGAGGCTTCGGGGCAGACTGAAGCACGGAAGGAGCCGCGGAGAGCGGACCGGTAGAGGCTTCGGGGCAGACTGTATAAGGAGAGAATAAAGAAAAGCCTGACCACCGCCAGACCTTGTTGTGTGTCTTTCCTGCCGGCCGGGAGCGGACATCGACAGAAAAGGAAAGTTTAGGGGAGGGACAAAAGATTCCCTTGTTGATCACTCTCAGGGAGTGCGGCCTGTGGAGATAACAGGGCTCTGAGAAAGTATCGGACTCTTTCAGAGGCCAGGCCCCAGGCATAGAGTGCCCAGGCCTCAGCAAAAATCCCATTTCTTTGCAAGAAAGCAGAGAAGTGCCACCACCTGGGGTCCTTAGCTGTGAGTGTCACTCCTCTCACAAATAACCACAGGATGGGCACCGGGGATTTTCCTGATCTACTACCTAGCCCTAGCAGGACACCCTGAGAAAGAGAAGCTGACTTTCCTATCTCCCTGGGAGGACAGGGACAGAGTCGATCTGAATTTCAGTTGAGTCATGTAAAGATGGTGACTTCTCTGTGGCAAAGAATAAAGCATAAAATATTACCAAAAAATCAATGAATCCAAAAGCTGGCTCCTGGAAAAGATCAAAACATCACACTTTTTGCTGAATTGACCAAGAGGAAAAAAGAGAAAAATTAATAGTAAGGAAACTAGACAGCCATATATATGATGTTTTGTACCTAATATAATGTACCAAAGAATAATACAACATGAGTCAAAGCCTCAGTATCAGATCTGAAACTATAAAACTCTTACGAAGAAACAGACAGCAGAAATGCTGGATATGGCAATGATTTCTTTAATATGACTCCAAAAACACAGGAAGCTAAAGAAAAAACAGACAAATTGGTCCTTGAGAAAACTTAAAATTGTTGTGCCTCAACACTAGCAACAAAGTAAAAAAACAACCTGCAGAATGGGAAGAAACATTTGCATATCATACATTTGATAAAGGTTTAGTGTCCATGACAGATTTGTAAAAACCTCTTAATACTTAACAACAAGTTATTCAAAATGAGCAGAGACGTAAATAGTCATTTCTCTGTGCATACATGGAGCCAGTAACGCGGCCTTGAGAGTCACACGAGAGATGCAAATCAATCAACCCATGATCAACAAGACACATGTCATAGCCACGAGGATGCCTGCTGCTTTTTAAAAAGCAGAAAATAACTCGTGTTGAGGACCACATGGCAAAATGCCACCCACCACAATTCTCTTAGAGATGAACAGAAACCTCCAGAATGGTCACCTGCATAAACTTCTTAACCATCTGTTAGCCTCCAGTGTTTCACTGTAGTGACAGAGAATGGACTTTAATGCCCCACATGTAGAAATCATTGAGGTAAAGTAGTGGTCGTCTGGGACTGGTGAAGAGCAGATGGGGAGAGCTTTGTTTAATGAACAGACACGGTTTAGTAAGATGAAAAGAGTTCTGCAGGTGGACAGTGGTGATGGCTGCACAGAAATGCAAGTGTGCTTCATGTTACAAAGCATGAAATAGTTGACATAATAGATTTTGTGTAGTGTGTTTGCTACAATCAAAATAATGGTGGAAGAAAAGAAAATCGTGGCATCTCCTTTTGCATCCCAACTGCTGGAGACAAAGATCTGTAGCTGTTTATTTAAGCACTGTTATTTATATATTTGACAACTTTATCATTGCTGTTTTTATGTTGCTTCATTTCCCTCAATTAAAAGTAATTATCTCATAAACCTTCCCATTTCTGCTTACTCCTGTTTCTTGTTCCTCAGTTTTCTTTTTTATTGGCACAGTTTCATTTTTATCAGCACATGAGGGAGCTGGTGCATGGACGTAGCACATCTCAGTTCTTCTTGACTCCCAGCCCCTCCCTGCCTCCCCTCTCTTCCTCTCTTGGTCACTTTTCATTTGCAAAGTATAGGTTCTTAGAAATATAACCAAGTCCAAAAGCCACAAACTTCACTGAGTCCCTAAAACATACCTTATCAAGCTCCATTCCAGAAGCTTCCCCACAAGTTTTGCCAATTCTAGCCATAGGAATGTGTGTTCTGAACTGGAATATGGGACACTCCGTGGATCCAGTCTCTAGCAAAACAGCCATACCTGGGTAAAAATCATGTATGACATTTGTTTTTAGGCAGTCTTTCTCTGTATGATGCCTACACTTAGCTCAACTTGCAAATCTCCTTCCTCAGCCTCTCAGAGTGCTGGGATTAGAGGTGTGCCACCGTCACACATATTTTTTTTAAATAACAAAACCAAAAAAAGAATAAAAACAATGATACACAATTTCAAAGCAAAATAATGAGAAATAACACTAGTTAATATATTGCATATTGTTACCTTCAAGTAGTTATTTGGATTACAAGACTTAGGCCTGAAAATAATAATCAAACAATCAAATATTGAAAGCACTAACTTTCTTTTGAGAATGAACTGAGATTAGAAGTATAGTTATCATATATATTTATATGTATACACATATAATCTTTTCCCTTCTTTCTTTCCTCCTTTCCCTATCCCAGTCGTTTTTTCCTTTAGAGCACTTTCTTTCCCTTTCATTTTCACAATATCTATTGCACATTGTGGATGTTATTTACCCTTTCAGTTTTTTTATATTAGGAAGACAATATGGTATTTACATGTGCAAGTCTGATTTATTTCACTTATCAGTATACCACCGCAACCATCTTAAAATAATTTCAAGCCACTCACAATTGTTCTGGGGCCATCCAGCAAGTGAAAAGACATGTATGCATAAACATCTAGTAAACCTTAGTAAGAACAGCAAGACTGTGGCACTGAGATCACAACCCACCACCGGCCTCTGCAGGACATAAGTGCCAGTCTGGTAGGTGTGTCCAGGAGGACAGTTCCTTCTCTCTTACGCAGAAGTTCAGGGCTTCAGTATCTCTGCAAAGGGCAGTTCTCCAGTATGTCTGTCCTTAGCAGCTCTTTTTGAGAGCCTAAATTCCAGGCAAGAGATCAAAGGCTCTCTTCCCCCAGACTTCCCTCACTTGCAGAAGGATGCTCTACTTCAAGCATTACAAGTCAACAGTAGGAGGACCCACTTACACCTAAGCCAGTGTACATGTGGGACCCAGGTTCTAAGCCCTATCAGAGATACAAGATTGGAAAATCACACAGCACCACTCCCATACAGAGCCACAAGTGTAAAGAAAGAATGCCTCTGAGAGCCCTCAGTAGGGGACAGGGGCTCAGGGGTTTTGTCCAGGTGTGAGAGAAGCACAGGGAGCTCCAAATAGTCTTTCAAGGGAGTCAATTTTATTTAGAGGAAGTATAAAGCAGTCAAGTGTATGAGAACTCTAAAGTAACAGCAAGGGTCAAGGAGATAGCTCAGTGAAAGCACAAAGTCCTGAGTTCAATTCCTGGTAAAAAATAAAATAAAACAAAAAATGGCAATTGGAGGGACAGCAATTAGGAGGAGTATGTTGCTTCTTGAAAGCAATAAGCTGATATGTAGATCAGCTAGTTTATCACCGAGGGCAAGGATGGAGAAGATAGTACCTGCCCTTAATCAGAACTCAAATTTAATGTCAAGTGACTGTGGAGCATTTGTGACAGAGGGTACTTTCAAGAACAACAAGGTACCTGAAATTAGTAGAGCCCAATATGTAGGTGTCAGCAGAGACAAGGATCTTAAACGATAAATTGCTATACATCCTACATATATAGTTATGTGTTACTTGAATTGTTTAAAAATGCATAAAGAGATAGAAATGTTCACCACATCAGTTTACCACACACTATGTCATATGTTATATTATTACACTGCATCACACAAATTCCTACAATCAACAATGATTAATAAAAAAATTAAAAAGGATCAAGGAAAGAAAGACCTGCTAAACTTACTGTAATCTCAAGGTGACAGTGTTTGTGTGCAAGTCTGTGTACTCAGTAACATTAAAGCCAGGGGAAGAAGACATCACTAAAACAGTCTAGCCAGGTTGCTAAACAAATAAATAAGAAGAAGCCCAAAGCCCCAAGGAAATAAAAAGGATCAGTAACCAGAATTACTGTATTACCCCATGTCCAATTTTCAACAAAAGTTACAAGCATAAAGGAGGCAAGTACAACCCAGACGCTGGAAAGAATTCAGACAAGGAAACTCCCTGTAAGAGGGCTGAAGCTGGGGGAGATGGTGCATGCCAGGAATCCCAGGATCTGGGAGGCTGAGGTAGGAGGATCACTGACCATTCAATGCCAGCCTAAGCTATACAAGCAAGTTTAAGGTCAGTCTGCCTACATGGTGAGACCTTGTCTCAAAAACTATTCAAAACTAATAATAACAACAATAACAACAAAAATAATAATAACAATAGTAAAGAGGGCTAAAGGCCTTAAAGCAGGCTATTGAAAATATATTGCAAGAACTAAAGGAAACAACTAAAGAAAGAAAAGAAGGTATGTCAAAAATGCCTAATCAAATAGAGAATGTCAATAAAGAGGCAAAGATGAGTTAAAAAATCAAAAGGAAATTCTGAAGTTAAAAAGCACAATAAAGAAAATGAAACTTCATTAGAGAGACTGAACTGTACATTTGAACTGAAGGAAGACTTGGTGAGCTTGACGCTGTCTGTTAAAGTTATACAATCCAAGGAGCAGAGGAAAACAAGATGAAGACGGTAAAGAGAACCGTGAAGCCATGTGGGGCCGCATCAGGCACACCAACATCCACGCTGCAAAAGAGATGAAGAAGAAAGTGAGAATAACTAAATAACAACTGGAATACTCCTATGTGTTAAGGAAAATATGAATCCACTCATCCAAAACATACCGAAAACTCCAAGTAGAATAACTGTGCAAAGGAGACAGACCCTTTCCCTGACACAGCAGAATCAAAATGTTAAGTGACAAAGAGAAAATTTTGAGAGCAGGAAAAAAAATTGACAAGGGTGGCACAGACTAATAATTGACTTGTTGTCAGAAAAGAGTACAAGCCAAAAAGCAGTAGAATAACTATTTAATGTAATAAAGAAAAAAGAAAAGCCATCAAGCAAGAATCTTGTATCTGACAAACCTCTCAAAGTGAAATTGAAATGAAAGTGCTCCCAGAGTTATAAAAAAAGAGAATTAGTTAC